TGCAGGGCTCTGGTGGCCATGACAGGCCCAGAGCAGGCCACAGCTCATAAAGAGTTAAATTTTACAGTCTTGTCTAGTGCACATTCCTGAGCTAGTTCTGAATGAGTTTTGAGAAATAATTCAGATTACTAAAATGCATATCCAGAGATACTTTGGTGCATCAATACCCACCCTGCCCACTCTGGATGTCCTGGTCACACTGGTGCTTCCAAAGCAGCACCAGGTACCCGCGCTCAGGGAGCTGCACCACACTGAGCACAAACATAGCTCAACAGAGTCTGTGCTCAGCTTTGGGAAGCAGCTCTGGTGAGTTACACACTTCAAACAACCCTATGTATATATTTCCCACTGATCCAGCTCTGCAGGAACACAGGCTGGAGCATCATGAGCAGCAGCTGTCTGCACAAGCACGCAGACACACTCCCAAAATCCACTACTCATCACTCCATGTCCGTCCAGGAATGAGAACAGTGTGATCAAATCCTCCTCTCAGGAACCTCAGGGCTTCAGGTTTTGAGCTTCCAGCTCCAGCAGACACAAATTCCCATCTCATTTTTCACAACTCTCTCCCACACATTTGCCTATACAAAAGACATGTCAAACAATAAAAAAGCCAATTAAAAATAAGTAATCGAAATAGCACATTTTCTGAATAAAATTCAGCATCACACCTTTGATGTGAAATCTGTTATAATTTGAAAACCTAATCTAAAGCTTGCAACTGTTTCGGAAAGCATTCTTCATGATAGGATAGGTATAAGTTTTAATTGCAAATTCTTTGCTTACAGGAGAAATCTCTGAACATTATCAACACCCTGAGCAGAAATGGGAAAGGATAAACTACAGTTTAAAATTTAATGGCACCTTAATTTCAGATCAAAATTGAAGGTTTTGCATAGCATTTGTGGTCTAGTTCCATGGGTTCCTAAAATCAAAGGAATAAAATTCAAGTCCAACATTATTCATAAAAAAATATTTACATATATATCTCTCAGCAAATGTCACTTTCTATCTATTGAAATGACAGGAATATTCATTCCCATAGCAGTTCTAAGCTCTTTTACAGACAGATCTCCTGAAAGAGGTGGACAAAGGGCAAACATCCAAAAATTCCTGAGGTGCCAAGTGCACCTGAGCTGTGCATCACAACAGAGACACAGCAGCCAAACTGTAGAAGAAAAAAGAATTCTAAAATTGCAGTTCACATCCAGTCAAGACATAGGCTTCTACTTTTTCATTTTTATTAAAGCTTTTACATTTTTATTTTTATTCATTTTAAAATCTTTACCTTTCTATCTGTGAGCAAAAATAATAGTGCATGTGAATGAAAATGTCTGGAAGGAAAGAAAACAGTAACTGAAGCTGCCTTTAATCAGCAGCACTCAGGAATAAAAGAGCTGCCAGGAGCTGTTTCAGTGCTCTGGAGTTACCAGTCCAGCATGATGCCAGAATGCCTCTGGCAGTGCTGTTTTGACACACTGGTAATGTCTGCAACTTGTTAGCAAGGGTTGTATTAAATCATCTTGTCACCAATTCCAGCTTTTATCAAGTTAACTTAAGCAAATCCACCACTTAAAATAGAAAATGTATTTTTTTTTCGTAGAGTAAGTCCAGATACAACATCTTTGAAATCTCATTTTCCTGTCTATATTTAGCACCAGACTTGTGTGTGGAAGACAGAAGAAAAGATAAGCACTTTTTTTAAAATTTAAAAAAAGTATAAAACAGGAAAATGAAATGATTTTTCACTTCTGAACTTTAAAAGCATTTTAAAATAATGTTGATCTTACCCAAAATGAGAAAGAAAGGCTGGTGGGTGGTACAAGGTTTAACACAGAAAGGAAGCTCTCTACAAGAAACAACATTTTTAAAGAAGTTACACTTGGTGATGTTGGTCATGTTTTGAAATTTGGCATGTTTAATACTTTATGGTTGCAAAATAAAATAAAATAAAGTGCAATAGTGGAGCCAAAGGATGACACAAATCCCCCACGTGGCAGCAGCAGAAGGATTGATGGCATGACACAGCTGTCAGGGTGACTCTAACCCTGGAAAAACTGGAATTACCAGAGAGGAGGGGCCCTGACTTCCTAAGGCAGCACAAACCAGCACATATCTACGTGTCCTAAAGTTTGTGAACTCTAGGACAAGCACAAATCACAATATTTGCTTTTATCTAAGCCCTTTTATTACACAAAAGTGCAGTAAAAATGCCCAGAAGTGTTTCAGCAGTTTCTAATTAAAATATTTGAGAACTATCCTGACATAAGCCTCTGCCTTCCCTTCACTAAAATAAACATCATTTCAGTAATCACAGTAGATTAAATCATGAGTCTAAGATGTTTTTTTTTTCACTCCTAAATTTAAATTTAAGCTGCTAACAAATAACCTGATAAGAAACTAAAACTGACAACTTTTTTTTCCCAACCATTGTTCACTTTCTTAAACTAAATTATGCTATTATTGGCCAGTTTGGCAGAAATTGATTATGGTTCATCTCTCAGGGATATCAGTCTCTTGGGCAAAACTGGGAAGGGATGAGAGGATGCACTCATATTTCAGCAAAATTTATGGATGGAGAGAGCTGCTGTGTCTCCTGAACTCAAGGTATTTGGGTCAAGCTTGAGCTTCTTAAACTTTCAGAAAACTGGGAAAGTTTCTGCAGCTCTCAGAGGAATGGGCCTTCCTGTGTTCTTCTGGGTGAATAAACAATACAATTGTTTTGAATGAGCTATTTTGAGTCACTTGAATTAGCAGCAGCTCCCAAAGGAAATTTTCCTGCTCGTGGCGAATTCAGCTGGGATTGCTCTGTAAGCACAGTTTTAAAAGAGGAGATTGTGAGGACAGGATTTAGCCTGAGAATGATTAATCCCAGTGTTGTATGCCTGTGACTTGGGAGGGAGGCAGCAAATGTTCCTGTACTGAAGTGTTTGAAAAAACCTGCAAAATGCTTCTCCAGTAATTGTGTTTCTCGTCCATGAGGAGCATTTGTTAAAGTTTTACAATTCAAAATTAGATTTTGCACTCTCCTGAATGATCAGCTTTGCCAGCCAGACTCCTCTAATCAGAACCTTAATTCTGAAGAAAACTCACCTCCACTGGCCACCAAATACCCAACTAAACCTGTTGGTATTTGAATTCTTCCTCATTGCTTTCAAAAATAAAGAATATCTCCTTGGATGAATACAAGGGCACTGCAAAAGCTAAGATTAGTATTCATGTGACACTAAGAGGTCACCAATCTGCCCTGGATAAGAGATGTCTAGAATATGATCCTTCTTCTTTTTAATAAACAAAATATTTTTATTAATGGAAAAAGATGAAAAGATTGAATGTTTTGCTTGGATTGTGAAATTTGAAGGAATGACAAGTCTCTTACTACCCTCCTATGAAATATCAGATTGCATCTAGAAGGTTTTGAAGAGTTTATTAATCTACAAAAAAGGACAAAAGAAAAACTCAGAAGCACTCAGTATATTTTGTAACAAAAAAATCATTACTTTTGCAACTTACAGTTGTTAAAAACAGGAAATGGGATTTTCCCCATGAACTTCCATTGGTGTTGGAGCAGTCTGCAGTTCCTTTGATCACAAAAAAAAAGTTGAAGAACATTAAAAGAAGTAATATCATTATATCTTATGCTAAATTCAACATTTTTACTTGCTAAGCGCTATTTATTCTACCTAGTTAATTTTCAGAAGTTTGGAACTAGAAATGCCTCTTCTCCTGCTCTCTTCCTTCTGCAAATAAATTGAAAACTTTTGAAAACAGTCCTGAGAGTTTTCATTAACAAAGGGATGTCAAAAGCATGTCAGGAAAATCTCCTAGGAAAGTTTAGTAAATGTTTCTCCATTTTTAATAATATATATTGATTATTTAACAGCAAGGCTTCCAGATGCTGAAATGGCAAAAACATTGTTGGCAGCAAATCAGCACAGTTGGAACTGTCTACACTGAGTATAAGAAATTAAAGTTAAGTGCAGTAATCTTGGGAATTATTTTACTTCTCTAAGTAAAATGCCTTAGCCTACATTATTTAACTTTTAATTATTTCATGGTCACCAAATTCACTTTGTGCTGATGCTGTGCTTCAGCCAAGGATTGTTTCCAAACAAACCTAAAGTTAAAAAAAATTTAAAAAGTTAAGCCAGGTGGAATCTGGGCTCTTCCCAGGGAACAAGAGCAGGACAAAAGGAAACAGGCTCAGGCTATGCCAGGGGAAGTTCAGGTTGGACCTCATGAAGAATTTCTCCATGGAAAATGTTGGTTTTGAAATCCTTCTCATCAATATTTGTTCTAAAAAGAAAGGGGTAGAATGAAAAATTGTGACATCGTGTTGGCTCCTGGTTTGTATTTATTGATTTAAAAATCCATTTAACCTTAAGTTGTTCAGTGCCTCATTATGCCCAAGGAACATGACCTAACCAGTGCTGAGCAGGTTCTGAGCAGGAGCCTGATTGATTTCAAATCCCAGTCATTTAACTCCAAGCCAAAAGCAGCATTGGACTGCAAAGCAGAGAGCAGGCTTCAATCACAAGTGTTGATATGAATCTGGCCACGTGGGGAAAGCCACCCAAGGGCACAGGAAGAAAAAAGAACAAAGGGAACAGAGATGTGAGCAGACAGGAGCTGTTCATTATGGTTGTACAGCAGTTGAAACAAAGCATGTTTCAACAAAAGTCAAAATGTCTTTAAAATCAAACAAGGTGTGGAAACTAAATTTAAAGCTGTTATTATGTGCATCTTCATCTGTTCTGTGACTTTTAGAGACTCCACAAAATGTTTGCAGTCTGCCCAAAGGCTGAGGAAGTTCTTGAATCTGACATTTTGAAAAGACAAATCTTCTGCAAAATAGATTGGAACAAGCCTCCCCATAAACAACCTGAATAGCTTTCAAATGAAAGTCATACCTCTAATCTCTTCTCAGCATTCACAGGAACTGCCTGTAACTCTGCAAATAATTTTATCCAGTGGTCAGGATGGTGGAAGCAATTATCCTTTCAGTCTTAGGTACAGCACACATGCGTGTATATTCATTTTCTGATGAGGTGAGAATGGACTTTAACCTGAAAAGAAGATCATTGCGCAAATCTCTAGGCTCAGTTTAATTAATCCTGAAAATATAATGGGAAGAACAAAATAGCAATGGGAAGAGTAATATAACAACAATGGGAAACTAATAATATTCAAAATAATTACTGTAATATTTTTTTACCATAGGTATAGCACAGACTGGAATTGAGGAATACTTCAGCACATAAAAACTTGATGTAGTATCTCCACAGAGATGTAAGAAGTAATCATTCACAAACAAATGCTAAAAGTTATTAGGCATCGGGCTGAAGCAGACAAACACAGGGTGAGGATTTCCAGCATGGATCATGGTAACAACAGGCTGGGGAAACTCACAATTTACACCTCTGGACATAACTTCAGTATTACACATAATAATGCCAATTAATAATGCTAATAATGATGCACTCAGCTTGCAAATAAGAGAGACCTGCAAACCCTACATCTGAAAACAACCCTGTCAAAGTCCAGCTGAGCAGTTTCATACTTTTTTTTCTAATTGGCTGTTATGAGAACCTGTGTCTTAGCCAGTAAAACAGATTAATACAATGTTTTCTGATTTTGAGAGACTTTCATTACATCTGCTTCCTTTTGATCTTTTTTTAGAGCCTAACACTAATGATGAGAATTTGATTTCCTGTGTTTATAATAAAGCTGGCATTAGCTATATGTTCTTAATTAAAGCTTTAAGATGTATTAGACAAGGACATGACTAGATTTAAAAGTACTAAAGTATTCTTTGAAAAAGTTTTCAGCATTTTGCACTTTGCTTCCAGTGCATGAACACAGAGATTTCACAGACAATGGAGCCAGAGCAGAAGACATCACAAAAACAGGAGCAGCATTCCCAAAGCCCACAGAGGAGTAGGAAGAATGGATCATTTCTCAAAAGCTGAGGTGCAGCAGAGAAGGAAGTTGAGTTTTAAAATCTCCTGCTGCAGGAATCTTTTCACCTTCCCTCAGTCCACGTGAGTTTTCATCTGATCTCTGTGTTCAGCAGCAGGGCTGGGCACTGGGGTGTTGACAATTCCATTTAGTGAATTAAAAGTGCCATTATTGAACCTTTCCATCTCAAGTCAGCTGATTCATGAATAGAACAAAAGCATCAGGCCTTAGTTGATACTGGACACTGAGGTAATTTTTCCTTTCTCTGTTATTATGGACTAAAGCTGTGAAATCTGTGTAATAAAGGATTTAAAGGATGAAAATGAGCCTTGATATCCACTCCTTCACTTGTTTGAATTTATTTGCAGATGACACAGAGCTGAGGGGGCAGCGGAACCTGGCCAAGTTCCAGAAGTGGGAATTCCCTGGGAATCTGCTGAGGTCTGACAAGGCCGAGGGCTGAGGCTGCACCCGGGCTGGGGGAATTAGTAATAAATAAAGTAATAAAAAATTAGAAGGTTAATTTATTATTATACTACATTATATTACATTATAGAATATTACACTATACTATACTAAAGAATACAGAAAGGACACTTACTGAATGCTAAAAAGATAATAATGAAAACTCCTGACTCTCTCCAGAGTCCCAACACAGCTTGGCCCTGACTGGCCAAAGAGTGAAAACAACTCCCAGCAGAATGCAATGGAACAATCACCTGTGGGTAAACAATCTCCAAACACATTGCACATGAGCACAACACAGGAGAAGCAAATGAGATAAGAATTGTTTTCCTTTTCTCTGAGGCCTTTCAGCTTCCCAGGAGAAAAATCCTGGGTGAAGGGATTTTTTCAGAGAAGGTGAATGCCAGAGCTGCAGGAAAGATGGAGAGAGACAATTGCCAAGGGCTGGAGGGACAGGAGCCAGGGAATGGCTGCCAGTGCCAGAGGGCAGGGCTGGTTGGGATCTTGGCAATGAGGAATTGTTCCCTGGCAGGGTGGGCAGGCCCTGGCACAGGGTGCCCAGAGCAGCTGGGGCTGCCCCTGGATCCCTGGCAGTGCCCAAGGCCAGGCTGGACACTGGGGCTGGAGCAGCTGGGACAGTGGGAGGTGTCCCTGCCATGGCAGGGGTGGCACTGGATGATCCTCAAGGTCTCTTCCAGCACAAGCCACTTTATGATTCTAAGATTTCCTTTTTGAAATTATTTTCATTTATCATGTACTTGCCTTGATCCGTGCTTAAGCTGCCAATAAAAATTGACATTTGGTGGAGAAAAGGAAACAAGTCCTCTAGGTAAATTAACAAGTTGTTATATCACTTCTTGCATCTTGAATTACTTTTTAATCCTCTCTCCAAAGCTGGCAGAAAATGCTTTAACAGCTCATTAGCTCAGTGTTCTGAGGACTAAACTGCCTTCCTAGCCCTTAAATTTGTCAGCACCTTCTGTATCAGAAGACAATAAGAAAGAGTCCATAAATATATCACATAAATGAAAGTTTATATCTGAGAAGAGTAGCTATGATCATTAAACTTATGATTATCAAGCAAAATTCAGGAAATCCTCTCCCTTTGCCTGGCTGCATTCTATTTGTCTTTGGAATAATTTGTGTGACTTCCAGGTTCATTATTTGCACTTTGTTACTGTGAGCAGCCTTAATGGGTCCTCCAGGGAAATCTGATAAATAGCATAACACATACCACTCTAAAATAAATGTTGGTGAACACAACATACTGTTTTAAGCTACTAGCAACCAAAATATAATTACTTTGTTTTTTGTAACTCCTTAGAAGAGCCCCCTTGGTTGCTATTACACACAATTAGGTATTTATGGGTAATTTGGGATTTATGAGCTTTAGTGCATGGAATCAGCACCCTCCATATGCTTCTTCCATATCTCTAAATTACTGTAGGTTGCCATGGTATTTTTTTTTTTCCTTCACATCATCACATTTTGCACCAGATTCCAGATTTCTCCCAGTGAAGCAAGGCAGCTGGTTATTCATCTTCAGTTTTGGTGGGAAGGGATATGGATTTGCTTCCCTTCCTGAGTTGTGCTCAGTCACAAAACACAGGGAGCCACTCAAGAGGTAAATGTGAAATATGACTTTTGAATATTGCCATGCCGGCTCCTTTTTTTCCACGTTTTCAATCATGCCAATTGCTTTCAATACCTCTTCATGGAATTAATTAGTGAGAAATGATTTTGTAGAAGTAATGAGGTCTCCAAAAGGGTTGAAAAAACTGTGATCCCCTGTTCTTTGGAGGAGTGAAATTTATGAGATGATATACACAAAACATATTTTTAATACATATGTAAATCACCCATAAATATGACAGATAAACAGAGGGTTTGGGTTTTTCAATTTTCAGGCAAGAGATTTCAAAATAATTTAATTTTGTAAGTGGTGTCCAAAGGGAAGATTGCCATTCAGTTGAAATCTGTGTAACGAACTGGAACCCACCTTGATTTCCAGACAAATACAAATCCTTGTTCTTATCATTTCATTGTCTTTTAAAGATAGTAAAGCTTCATTTGTTCTTAATAACTGTGTCTGCAGAGTTCCACTGCCTCTGACAGAGCCATCCCAACTTTCCCCCAGCACAAATGAGAGGACAAAGCAGCTCAGGGACTTTTAACACATCTTGAAGGTCTTATACAGTCATCTGCGAACTGGCTCCACCCAGTAACCCCACAGTCAGGAGGGAAACAGGTAATTTTCAATTTATTTAGACATGAAACCATCACACTTGCTGGTTTAGGCACAGCTCTGTTTTCATGAGGATATCCTGTCTGTGCTCAGATGAGATATTTCTCCTTCATGACACAGGTATCAAGAATAATTCTTTCATGAAGAGCTAAAAGACAGAAATATACTAAAATAAGTCAATGCTTTACAGAAAATGTATTTGTTGATTCAAGCACAAAATTTATCTTCTTTTAAATCTGTGTCAAAACCTAGAACCAATCACAAAATTTGATTTATAATAAAGAGTAACACACACATCCAGATGCAAAGAAAGAGAAGTTCTCTCTTTGCCTGTTCTTGGAAATACACACAAAATTTTAAAAAAATTAATTGTTTTATACAAGGACAATGAGAAACTAAGCCTACATGGTATCTGAAGACTTCTGATTTCAAGTGTTTAGATTTAACTTATTGAATCTTTTTCATTTTCAAGCCTTTTGCATCTTTCTGTTTTCATTATTTTTGGTCTCTTATATACCAGAAAACTGAATTTTGAGAGTAAATTATCACTTAGTCTTCTACATACAACAGATATATGAGATCTGAACTACAAAAATAGGTATGTAGAACTTATAAATAATGCTAGACTACAGAGTTCAGAGTATAATGCTATTAAAATATAGTTTTTTGGGTTTATGGCAATCTAGAATTGTGTTCTTAGTGATTAATTGAGGGCAAAATCAATTTGCATTAGAAATGCCTATTTGTAATTGAATATTTTCCATGAAGAAACCCTGAATTAAAGTTACCAAAGTCCTGATTTAATTTCCTATGTGCTTGGTCATCTTCTCTGGGATTGAATGTGGACAATGGATCATGGCAGAAGGTGAACATCTCTGTCAAGGTTGTAAAATCCCCTTTTTTCCCTTGGATTTCTATCTGAGGGGAACTGACAGACTGGAAAAGCCATGGGGCACAAAATTAATTCTACAACCACTTGAAACCCGCAAAATTTATACTCTAGGTCTGGAGAAGAAAAAGAGAAAAAGTTGCCTTTTATTTTATTTTAAATCAAGGACCATTGGCAATGCAAGTTGCAGTGATATTTAAAGATCTGATCCCTCCCAGCCCTAAATCTGTACTTCACTTAATTAAACAGCACTAAGTCCATTTACACTGATATTCTCCTGCCCAGTTTGATTCACATGTACTGCACCAAAATCCCACATTTTGGTGTGAAGTTGCAATCTCAGGGCTCACCTTCCCAGACGGAATCTTTGCTTCCTGAAGTGCTGAGGGATTTCAAATAATGCAAAAAACCCAAAGCATTTGGGAACAGCAGTGAAAGTTCAGCTTAGCATGGGTTTGCAAGCTGCTGGATGTAATGAAAAAGACTTGAGCAGTCCCACTTGGTAAACC